AGCATCAATGTGGTTTTGCAGGTTTGTTGGTTAAAAGTAATAAAACTTCCTAAGTTTTTACTCTGCTGTGTGTTTTACTTCTGCAACAGGAACAGGAAACGGCTCCTTTTCCTATTTTTAGCCAAACTTTAATAAATGGATCTGCTTTTTAGTTTGTGGTTCCAAAATCCTTTCAAATAAATTAAGACAACAGATTTGTTTGTTTTACATTACAAGCCGTTGTAGGGCTTTTTGTAAAGAATTATTTTATTTATCAATTAATCGATTATTCTGGCGATTAATCAATCAATCAGATAAAAAATTGCTTATTGAGCAGATTTTTAATTTAAGCATCTTTTTTTACACTTTTAGAAATGCATTAAACTTATTTTAAAGAAGAAAATAAACATCTTGTTGCATAAAATGCAATAACATTATTTTTATAAATGTTTGATCATTCTTAGCAAAGGATCAATAAATGATGAAAAAAATATAATTTTTAGATTTTATCAGTAATTGGATGGAAAAAGGAGCTTAATAGCAGATTCTGAACAAAGTGAAAATGTTTATTTTCTGTCTTAGATTCAAAATGTTTGTATTTTTTGTAGTTTTGGCTCAATTACTGCTTTTAATGTGTTGTTCTTTCAGCAAATAGCCTTTCTCCAGTTAACTGATTATTAAGTTAGTTATAAATTGATTCAATAATCGATTAATCTGATTAATCGTATTAGCTTTTGGTGCATTATAGGATGTAGTAGAGAAGACAAACACACTTAGAAAGTTCTTGCATCTTTCTTGTAAAGTTTAATCTGATAACTGAGGCTGTTATTGATTTATTGATGCAGCTTTTCATGCAGAAATAACTAAGTGCAGTTCTCAGATTCTCCATGTTTTCTACTTCCTCTCATTATGTCGTCTTCTTCCTGTATTCACACCTGGTTCTTTCGCTCTGGACTCGTCTGACCCATAAAGAGACCAAATGTTCTCGCCTGGTTTGCAGTGACATGCTCTGGTTGACTTGGAGTTTCCGTTGTGTGTAAAGAAACCAAACGGCTGGAAAAAGTTACAAGTTTACAAATTTATCAACCGATTCAGGTCTGCAGGTGTGAAAGTCACTATTTATTATAACACAGGTGTGTTGATGTCCCTCGCATCAGTTAAAAATGACACCATAAGGATTTTTCTTAATGATTCAACCGCCTCAGTTTGTAAAATCTATGCCACATTCGGCCATTTGAAATCATTCTGAGGGCCACAAATGGCCCCCGTACCACACCTTGGACACCCCAGATCTACAGGAAATCAGTGATTTAACATATTCTTTGTCAATTAGGTCAAATTAAATGTTTGTGTGTACTTTTTTTTATTTTGAAAAGATTATAAAAGTCTGTTTTTGCTCATATTGTTGCCTATGAACCCCAGAAACAAGCAGATTAATTGATATTAGATGATTTATGATCAATTTAGGAGATAATCTGAAGTGATTCAACTGGCCACATTCTTTCCTGAATTTGTCGCCTTGATCTCGTTTTATTGTGAAAGGTCCGCTGCCTTCCTGCCTGCACTTCCTGCCTGCCTCAGGTGAAAAGCAGATTGGCATCAGGCTGTGAATCAGTCCAGACACATTGTGTGTTTTTCTCAGAGGAAACATGTTCCAATGAGTCTGGTATGCAAGCTGCTTCCTGCTCTGATCGTTATCTCAACCAGAAAAACAAATGAAAAAGGAAGAAAGTCCAGGTGAAAGAGTTCTCAGAAGAAACAAACGAGTAATTTAAACCTGTTGGTGCTTCTAGGAATATGTAAAACTTAAAAAACGGAACACATATATGCAAATATTGGACGTTTTAAGGCAACAACTGGATAGAATATCATTAAATATGACAACAGCTTCTATTATCACCAAATACTTAGACATTGTTCCAACAACCATTTCAACTTGGTGAATCCAGAGATTATATTTTGATTTGTGACACATATTCACTTCTGTTATTATGATATAAATTAATTCATTATCAATCATATATTAAGTTTTAATTTAAGAACTTTAATGTGGCACCATTTTTCTTCATGATTGCACTGCAAAAACTCAAACTTACCAAGTATTTTTGGTTTATTCCTCAGTGCAAATGTCTTAGTTCTCTTGAAATAAGACAAAACTAACTTACACATAACTTTTCACCAAATAGAGAAGCTTTTTATTTTTTGTCAATATTTCACTTAAAAGACATTTTTCCAGTGTAAAAAGTGAAATAATTTACCAATGGAACTAGTTATTTAATCAATATTAAGGAGTTAGTGACTTAAAGCTCCGGTGTCTCACTAAAAAGTTACTTTTAATTTAGTTTTGTCTTAATTTCAAGTGTAGTGAGATATTTGCAGTAAGAAAAATGCTTAAATTTGATATTTACGGTTTCAGACACTATTGTTGATTTGTAATCAGTAATAAATACAAGGCCACTCGTCTATTCTTCGATATTTTGAATTGAGAGAAAGTTTTCTGTTAGATGATGAGATAATCAAAACAAGCTCTAATCTCCGCTGCTTTTTCAGCCGACTTCCCTTTAAAAACACAGAAATGCCGAATGCAGAGCCGCCGTGTTTTTTCAGTGTTTCTGTGTTGCTCTAAGCTGGACTTCAGGATTTCCTCCTGGGTTCTGACCCAGTTCTGACCCAGATTAGGCTCAGTGACAGAGTTATGTGTTAGCAGGCGGATGATGGCATCTGGACTCCCTCTTCATATCCAAATGAAAGCTCAGCAGAGCTGCCAGGGGTCAGAGGTCAGGCGCAGTGTAAGGCTCCTCCCTGCTGATTTACTGTCAGTTTGCTTTCCTGTTTCATCACTGTTAGGTTTTCAGAAAAATGTCTTATGTCATCACTGTTTCTACAAAACTCATTCCTATGGAGTGAAATGATTACATTTTTAAAGTTAGCGGCTGTTTACTTAGCAACAGATTAGCAAGATTACATTGAAATATAGTTGGTTTATTTAATTTTCTTCATGATTAACAAAGGTTAACCTCTAAATATTGTCTTGAAAACAACATAAACTAATAGAAAAAGTAATAAAACGTCATACAGTTGCTTTAAATCTTTACATTTTTCAATATTTTTGGACTGAATAAGCAGCTAGCACTGAAACAGCATTAACCCTAAACAAGATAAAATCATAACATTTTAGTTGAAATTAAAGAAAGCTTTGTTCTGTAAAGTAGTTAAAGTGGAATAATGTGGTTTCTGGTCTTAATATAGTTGAGAAAGAGAATAAAACCAGGAAGGAAGCAAGAAATTTAGCAAAAAGTACCATTAGCTAATGGCTACAGGTTCCCAGGTTGACTGAAAATAGTCAACATGGGAAAATTAAAAAGGCTTCTGAGTAACAACATCAAATCAATAAAATGATAAAAACTCAACATGAAGAAAAGATCAGCAAAAACAGCTCCTTGCTAGCAAATAGTTCCCCAGTTAAAGGAGTAGCCATTTCTAAAAATGTTTATTTTTCACTATTATTATTATTTTAAGGCAGGTTTTAAAAAACACTAAACTGAACAAATAAAATGATCAATATGATAGAAAACCTGAAAGGAAACAGTTAACGAAGCTAAAATAAACTCTGCTAATAAACAGCAAACTCATCAAAAGATGAGCGTTAGCTAACAGGTTCCTATGACCGGCTGTAATCTGACTAATGGAGCACATTAAGACAAATATGACTTTGTTTTTTTAACAGGAAGATGGTAAAATCCCCAAACTGAACGACTAAAAGTATCACAATAAGAGGAAACATATCAGCAAAAAGCAGCAAGAGCTCCTGGTTAATGGCAGCCAATCAGGAGCAAGTGGCTGGTTTCTAAGTTGACTAATTGAAGTTCACAGATGCAACTTTTTGAAAGGTTTTTGGGTAATAAAATAAGTTAATTCAATAATGTGATACACAATAGCTCAACATGAAAGAAGTCCAGCCAGAAAACAGTAAATCTATAAAAATGAATGTCAAGCTAACAGTTTCCTGAGACCAAAATAAGAGTTTTTTTTAAGTTATTGGTGAATCTAAAGAAAGATTTTGTAATATTTTTTTTAAGCAGGTGAAAACACGAAATTGAACTACTGAAAAGGTTAGTAGGACAGGAAAACCAGAAAGGTGGCAACTAATTTGACAAAAAATGGTAAACGGCTGACCAGACAGGAACTGGTGAGACGAGACTGAACTTTGTTACGACCCAGATGTAGATTCTACAAGTCAACTTGGTAAAGACACTCAAAAAACAATAAAAATGAAATAAATAGTTTTATAAAAACCACATTTTCAGTACTTTCTCCTGAAGTTGTTCCAGTTCTTTTGGTTTTGGACTTCAGACACTCAGAACCAACCACACCCGCTTTCCGTCTGAACTCCTGATTCTGTTGATATACTGGAAAAGACACATAAACACATTTCAAGATTGAAACTTCATTAAGAGTGTTTACTTTGTGCTCTCCAAGACACACACACACACACACACACACACACCCAGATTTTCCCTCTGAGCCTTGAACTCCAGTGAAAGGACTCGGGATGCCCTATCTGAATCCATCTGTGTTCATGCAGAAATCCGTTCCTGCCTCCATGGAGCTCTATCTCAGTTTGACGGTGATTATGTAAGACGGAGAATGTGAGAGATAAAACGCCAGACAGAGGGAGAGGGAGAGCTGATGGGAAGGAATGAAGGGATGGTTTGATCAGAGAGATTTGGTTCGACCTGGATCGGATCGGACGCAGCGGGAAGAGAGTCCAACCGGAATGCCGTCTCTGTCATGGACCTTCTGCTGACTTTAGCCTCCACAGTTTTCACCTCCACAGTCAACATGCTGCGGGAAAATACTGTTATCCAGAGCATTAGCAAGAGACTCAGCAGGAGGTAGAGGAGAACCTGGATGTTACATTTGACTTTCTAAGTGAAGGAGGGATTACTTGGTTGGACCAAAACAAGGAAACGATGGATTGATTTTCATATTTTCATGCTTTTTCTCCTCCCTGCCTACAGAACCATGTCGTTTCCAGAGATGTACTGGCCGGTGCCGATGCGAGCCATCGGGGCTCAGAATCTCCTCACGATGCCAGGAGGAGTTTCCACCTCAGGATATCTCCACAAGAAGGGAGGCAGTCAGTTCAGTCTCATGAAATGTGAGTAAAACTTTAAAAAGATCGTTTCTGCCTTGTTTATTAGACAGATGAAGACATTCCTGATGTGTGTTGCTGTCTACAGGGCCTTTGAGGTACATAATCATCCACAAGGGTTGCGTGTACTACTTCAAAAGCAGCACCTCTCCTTCACCACAGGGGGCGTTCTCTCTCAACGGCTACAACAGGTTGGTAAAAATTAACCACAGAGAAGATCAACAAGTTTTATGGCTTGTTTCACAGATTTTGCTTGATTTAAAAACAAATAAGCTTAAGCATTTGGGCTAAAGCTAGCATTTTTGGCTAGCATTAGCACAAATGCCTGGTATTCCCAAAACAAGCATTTGGTTCTTTTCCAAGGTGAATCATTCAAACCAGCCATCTTTGGTTCGCTTCAGTCCAACTCTAGTTAATTTGACCATAAAGTCCAGTTTGTTTGAGGACATCCCAAAGGTCTGGTCCACCTACAAATCTAGGTCTCAGTTTGGCTGAACTATAGTTGAATTCATATGTGAACGCTAAGGGGACTATAGAGACTATAGACTAATTTGCTCCAAAAGCAGGAAGTGGACTATAGTAAGGCATTCTGGGTAAATGCAACCAAAACCAGCGTGCTAGCCTAGCGCTAGCATTAGAAATGGCTCGTGGTTTTTAGCCAAAGACAAAAGAGAAATCCTCCAACCACTAAAATCCGATGCCACTCCATTTTTGTTTACATTTTGCGATGAAGGAAGCTGCACTCAGTGTCTCCTTCAGAGGTTTTTATGTTGTTTTCTTTAGTGGTGGTTGGTGCAGCGCCCCCTCAGGCCAGGAGGGGAACAGTTTGCTCTGAGCGTTTGGTTGGTTTGACTCAGAGCAGTCTGAAAGAAAACTGCAGCTAAATGTGAAACAAATGTTGCAGTTTTGGTCCCCAGTCAAACCAAACCTATCAGACTATCAGGTGTGAAAAGATCCTCAATAAATGCTAAACTTTTTGAGGAGGTATTGAGACATTTTACTCCAGGCAGTAGCTTGATAAACTAAACAAAGTGAACGAGATGCATTCAGAACTGCATCTATTTTAAGGCAATATAAATACATCCCTGCTGCTTTACCCAGTGGACTTCCCAATAATTATGAGCAGATAAATCTCCAATCTACTACATTTGTTTGGTTCAACAGAGTGATGAGAGCAGCAGAGGAGACGACGTCCAGCAACGTTTTTCCCTTTAAAATCGTCCATTTCAGTAAGAAACACAGAACGTGGTATTTTTCTGCAGCCAGCGAAGACGAGCGAAGGGTGAGAAGATCACTGAACACCACTGAACTGTGAAAGTCGTGTGTTTCTGCTCTCTGCAGAGAGAAGCTGACATCTGGTTATTTTGCTTCCTGTCTTACAGAAATGGATGCGATATCTGCGAAGGGAAATAGATCACTATAACGACAGAAAAGAGGCCCAAATTTCAAGGTAAAAAATCTGCTCAAACTTTAAACTACAAAAGCACAAATTACCACTCTGGTGTGTAAGATGCTAAATAAGGTATAAGACATAAACGAGACACAAGCAGCCTTTCTCACACATCAAAGGTCGTTTTTAATCCCCAGCTAATCTCGTCTGCACGCATTTGCTCTGCTGAAGGAAACCCGCTACCTGGAATAAACTCACACTTACAAATAAGTCAGATGAACTTTAACATTTGTGTTTATGTTTGAACCTTTTGACTACATTTAGCCTCTATGCTTTACTTCAGACTATAACTGCAAACCAACATGTTGAACCTGGTAGATTTATACAAGTGCAAGAGTAGCAAACTTTGGCTAAAGCTATCAAGCTACATAGCTTTGATGTTCAAATGTCAATGGTTCTTCCTCATAATAGTATAAAATAGGCTACTTGTTTCGTACACCATGTTTATGTTTGTCACTATGTGGGGTGGTGATGGTTTTAGGCTAACTGTTAGCCTAGAAGCTACATAGTTAGCCAGGTAGCTAAATCAAAAATATCCTTTTCCTGGAAAATCTACAAGAAATAGTCATTTTATAAACCACATATGACAGAATGATTAGCATTTTGATGTAAATGTAAGTTTTCTCATTGTCCAGGTATCATGAAGAATTGCTCCTTTGAGCAACTTTATTTTGTAATTCATTAAATTGTCCTTGTTGCCGCAGTGACTCCGACTCAGACGCAGACTTTTATGGCACCATAGAGAGACCCATGGAAATTAAACACGCTGTGGACACAGCAGAGGATGGTAAGACCAGGCTGACACCTTCATCACTGCTCCACCCTGCAGGTGTCTGTGAATATTTAGCATTTACTCTCTTTGTGCCCAGATTACGTTGATGAGGATGATGATGAAGAAGATGAAGAAGACTATCTGAAGCCAGACGGTGATGGCTCACCAACATCTCCAGGTAAAAACATCTGTACTTCTTCCAGTGAGGGCTGGACGATACGGCTGAACATCACAATTCATATCGGTTGATATTGATAATTACTGAATGGTTTTTGTTTTAAATATCTGAAATGCAGCTAACCTGTGGATAAAACCTTTCCTGTTTCAACCACAATTATCACTCCATGCTATTGTTTATTTTTAAGCAGTTATGAGACAAAACCTTAAACTGCTGCTGCGCCAGTTACTCAACAGGCTGTTGCTAGGCAACCACAGAGTGAGTTAGTCGATGTCACCAATCTTCCTCTGCTGGTCGTGAAAAGTTGAGCAGCTAAAGCCTTTCCTTTGCCTACATCACCCAGAATGCTGTGCGGTTCTGGATCAGCGTTCAGTGAAATTATTGATTATTCTATCAGATGTATTATGAATTTATATTGATAATGTTGCGATACATAAAGCTGATTTTTGTCCAGCTCTACTTCAACATCTCTAGCTCTGTTGACATTTTCTAGAACAAGGTAGAAGTTTTTCCTCTTGCTGAAGGTCTTTCATAAATCGGTGGTTTCCCCCTGCAGGTCGACCCACCGGTCCGCCTCCTGCCTACCCTCCTCCACCGGTACCAGCTACTCCGCTCCGTCGAGAATCCAGTCCAAACATCCAGAAAGCCGTGCCTCTACCTGTCCCTGGACAACACAGAAACCCAAGCAGCCCACTCCCCAAAAAGCCCTCCGTCCCTCACCAGCCCCTCCAGAAGGAACAGAGTAAAGGTCCGCCCCCTCCGCTGCCCTTTGCCCCTCACCTGCAGAAGTCGCCGTCTCCGACTCCTCCTGCTCTTCCTCCCAGCTCCTTGAAAACTGCTCAGAACAGGACGATCTCTTTGGGGAATACTGCCAACGATCGGAGAGACCTGAGGTCCCACTCCACGGTCCAGGTCCACTCGCCGGCCACGCTGCCCATCTGTGACCAGCTGCACAACAGGATGGTCCTGAACGGCCCGGTCAACAGCTCCCCAATCACCGGCAGTACCCAGTCTCTGGGAAACCACTGCCTTCGGACCAAGCCCTCCTTACCACTGCCCCACACCGAAGTTAACCTGCTGTCCACTAGTGCCCCATCGCTGCCTGCCAAACCGCCGTCGTCTCCGCTACTCAAGTCTGGACTTCACAACAAGCCGACGATACCGAAACCTCCTCCACCGACGGCCAAACCGCTGCAGACTCTGGACAAGCCAAAGTCTCCGTTTCAGTAAGTCACTTCAAGGAACAGGGACATTTAAATCACTGTTGCCACAGTTTGGGGCGTTCGTTCTGTCAGTGTTTGGTCATAAGTTTGGCTACGTTCAGGTGAATAACACACATATCTGACTTTTTCATGGCAGTCTGAATGGCCCAGTTCAGATCTTTTCAGCCACCAAAGACATTCGATTTGTGCCACTTCCATATGTGGATCTAATTTGGACACATATCTGATTGTTTCCAAAGCATTTGCAGTCTGAATGCTCATGTTATCTTTAATTGACTTGAGAAATGTCATTATTCTGCACCAGAAGGAGGCAGACCAGACAAATAATGGCTGAAAACAACAATCACATCACTCCTGGTTCCAACTGCAAACAGATTTCTCTAGAAAAGTTTCCGTCAGTGTTCCATGATCTTGTGATGATACTTCTCCTATTGCTGAATGACTTCAAAATGAATCCACAGATCGCTGCGTCTGTTATAACTTTAGTTGTTCTTCTCTGCATGTGCGTCGCTCAAACAGAAGTCTGATTGTGGTTGTTTTTAATTAGTAGCATGAAAATAAATCAGATTTCCAAAATAGTGGAACTGAGCATCAAGACCTGCTGTGTGAAGATGAACATAGTTAGAAATTAGGAACAAGACACAAACAGATTGATTTAATCCATCCAGAAAAAGAAAATGTGTTGCTCTCAGAAACTCCAGAATATGTTTGTTGAAACTTGTGGACCTGTTGAGAGCATCTCTGCTTTTATACAAGTTCCTGGTTTGTTTCACATCCAGTTATCCGACCAAAGCTCACAGCAGAGTTCAGGAAACTCTGATTTTACAGTAAAAGGATTTCCTGTCGTACCAGTTGGCATTCAGATCGTATCTAAACCATAAGTTTCCCTCTCTGGTCCTCCAGAGTCGCCGTCTTCCAGCTTTTATCTGCATCTAAAGCTGCTTCTTCATTGTCAAGTCTCACTCTGGTTGGTTAACGTTTGGTTGAAGCCAGTCTGGGTGTGTCTTCATTACAGTCTGTTCTTTGCTGCTGTGGCTGTGGTTATTGGGAATCTTCTTGATGCTCCAATGATTTTATTTGCAGTGACATTTTGAATTGGAGAACATCAGGGCTGTGGTTTTGATGGACTCAAATTAACCCAGATATTTAATTTAAAAAAAACAAGCAGCTGGAAATGTCAAGTAAAATTAAATCTCTGCGTCATCCACAAATCTCACGATTGTCCACTGCAGTGTTTGAGATTTAGTTGTTTTCAAGAGTTTGCAAGATTTGGCTTTTGCTCATGCAGTGACGTAAATAACAGGCCAATAAACGGATACAGCGCTTGGTGCAACTTGTACCACCTCTGGAAGCGGGTATGGAAAACAGAACCAAAGAACCAGTTAAAGCCAAAGGACCAGTTAAAGCCAAAGGACCAGTTAAAGCCAAAGGACCAGTTAAAGTCCCCTCCTCAGTTTTCTAATGAGTCACTTGATTCAGGTGTGTTGGAACAAGGACACATCTGAAGGTTTCAGGACTGAATTTTGAGACATTTGGTCTAAAAGCTGAGACCCCAACATGCCAGTGTCTCCAGCAGTGACCCAGCTGTGAACTACAGATGTTTTTACTGTCCTTTTCGTCCTCCTGTCTCTCTGGCGTCCAGATTCCTCGTCCAGTTTGGTTGTAAAAGTTCCAGTTAAACCAGTTGTGTCCACAGTTCAAGTTTATTTCTACTTTAACAGAAATGTTAAGTAACAGACAACAAATTGTTCTTTTACTAGCCTTTAGTAAGTCATGACCCAAACACCCAGTGACCTTTGACCCAGAAACACTTGGACCCGTCTGTTACAGTCGGATAAACGCATCAAAGCTTTGGGAGAAAATTCTCATATTTGCTGCTGGATATGAACAGAAAAAAATTATAGATCAACAAAATGGAAAATAATTGCCCATAAAAAGTGAAATAACTGTAAACATTAAACTAAGCATTATACTAATGTCCTTTTTATGAAAATATAACTTGTTTAATTTATTGTGGTGCCAGTAGGGATGAAGAATTCACCATAATATTTTAAATGGAGAGAAAAAGCAAATTTTGGAAACAGGGATTATTTTAGGATTATTTTTGGCCTTTGCAAAATCTTTGACTCTGCTCACTTAAACAGTTTTATTCCTGCCACTGGCTCCTTTATTAGGAATTTCTTATAATTTTCTGACTTTATTCTTGTATTTTTTGTCTAATACTTCATTGTAAAGATTTTCCATGTTTCTGACTGTTAGGATAGATAAATATGTGAGTTCAGGCAGGAAATCTGTGTGAATGAGGTGGATCTGCTTCTCTAACGAGTGTTTTCTTGTCAGAAGAGCATCTCCAGACGGGCAGAGTTTCCGTTCGCTGGGAGAGGAGATTCCTGCTGATATCAGGAAGAAACCAAAGTCATCCAAACACGGACACGACTCCGATGACGACTACGAGAACGTAAGCAACCTGCAGATAAAACTGAGCAGCTTTTGGGCCTTTAGTCTCAGTTTTGTGACAATTTTTATATATTTTTATGTATTTTTTATTAAAGTGTTGTTTCTATATGCAGGTGCAGCTGCCAGAGTCGGTTTTCATCGATTCAACTGAAACCACCTTTGTAGAAAAGTACGACACGTTTAAATACTTTACACATTAAAAACGCTTTTAAACCGAAACCTACCGACACTTTTCTGAACTTTTACTGCCCCCTGGTGGCAAAACCCAACATTTCTCCTCTTATTTCTTCAGTTATTTTTATTTTTCTCAGCTTTTGACACTTGTACAACCTTGTAGATGTTTTCATTCTGCATTTAGTCTCTTAATAATAATAAAAACCATGTGTCGATGTTTTCCTCTACAGGCTTTTTAAAGAGTGCTGTGCTAATCCGCCGGACGGACTCTACGGCATCAGAAAATCAGGAACCAAAACCGCAAAGGTAAAATAAATAAAACACCAAGCATCTTTTAAAATCTACTTAATTTAATTTTATATTGTGTTTTCTTTAAGTACAGAAATCCTAATATCAGACCACACATGGTTTACTCTTTGTTTAGTTTTTCTCATTTTTCAGTGTTTTAAAATTATTTGTCAAGATTTCAAGATGCATTTCTCAAATATTGATTCAAGTAAAGCCTGGATATTAAATAACATGACAAAAATATGTTTTATATCTAAGTTAGTGATCTTAATTAATATTTTTAAGATGATTTCATGTGAAGGTTTTTGTCTTTTTCTCATTTTTACATGATAAATGCTTCACTTTGAGGCTGATTTGGGGAGAGAACATCTTTTCTGAAGGTGTTGAAAGTTTTTTTTAAAGACCTCATTTGATAGTTTAATGCCTTATCTTATAACAAAAAGTGAAGATTGAAGGTTTAAGTAGCCAGAAGTGAAATAAAATCAGAAAATGCCTGATTAGAGTATATTTTTAATGTTTTTCAGGTGCTGGTGGTTTGGGATGTCGCTATAAACAAGGCCAGAAACTACAGGCTGTTTGAAGAGGTAAGGAACCCAGCAGCGCCCCCTGCTGTGTTATAATGACTCTATGTTTGAAATAACTCGTCAACATCTCGTTTTTGTCTGCTGACAGAATGACAGCATATTTCTGGAGAGCGACCTGACCTTCCCCAACCTGGCGGCGCTGGTTGAACACTACTACAGCCATCCTCTTCCTCACCACGGCTCGCTGTGCCTGCAGAAGCCTTACGCCAAAGTCCTGAGCTCCTGAGACCAAACATGCAGCTGGAGACGCGTCTTCAAACGGATTCAAAACAAACTGAGCTCAAAATCACCCAGAAGAGGAGGAAAAACCGGCTGGAAATCAGAACAGTTTGATGGTTGTGACGCATTTTGGCCACTAGGAGGCGACAAATGACAACATAAAGCAACAGATTCCGGAAATACAGCCTACATGCATAAACATATCACTCAATATAACTATAAATATTTATTTCTGTATCATTTTTCTAAGTAATTTCAGAAGTTAAAGCCTATGATGAGTATTTCTGTGTAAATATGGCTGCGTCACATGAAACATAATGACTTTAAACAAGCCAAACGGACAAAATTAAAAGCTAAAAGTCGGATCCTGAACCTTCCCTGACACAAGAGAACAGGAGCTTACAACTTACATTTCAGTTGGAAATACAGGGAAAACATCAACAGAGGAGGGAAACCTCGTTTTCAAATTAGCAGTGCGACCAAACTGGGACTGATTGTCTGTTTTTGTGTTTTTTGTCAAAACGAGCTTTTTAAAATGTGTACATTCATTATACTGTGTAGCTTTTGTCCATATTTATATGTAAATATGTAAAAGCATGACTGTAAATATGTAAATGTGAAGTTTTTTTACAAAAATATATACTGAGAATGTATAAACAATTGCATAAAAAATTGTTTTTTATCTTTATTTTGTGCATCTGCATACAGAAACTTCAGAATTTGGTATTTTTGGATGATAAAGTTGAGCAACACAAGACAACACACTAAAAAAGTTAAAAGTTATAATAAGTCAGTCAAATGTGTTAAATATCTGAAAAGATTTGTTTGACTTTAGTTTTATGTCATCAAAGAAAGAGTTTTCTAGACATGTAGGGTGTGAAAATTCATATCAACAGAATTTCATAAAAGTTATACCCATATCCTGATGCTGCCACCACCGTACTTCACCTTAGAGATGCTACAATGATGAGCAGCATCTGGTGTTGAATAATTATTCTTAATTGTTTGAATCTTTTTGAATACAACAAACTTAGGATTTACCTAAATTTCACAAAATCAGAGTTTTTATTATAAAAAATTTTTTGTTTCTTTGACTTGATGATTTTGGTTTAGGTGGCAAAAGTTTTGGACCTCATTGGTATAAATTACCATTTATTAAATGATATACCATAAAAAGATTAATTAGAAATCTTAGTAAAAGTTTGTGTTTTTACAGTGTGTTTGGTATTAAAGAAGTAAAATACGAACTAAGAGAGAAATAAATGCTTTGAAAACAACAAATATAAGAAAATCAAAGACGTTGCAGGCGTAGTAAGCCTGGTTTATGCTTTTACGTTTGAAGTTAATCTGGTTTTTTACATTCATTTGTTGAATGTTAACGCCTACCAACAAACAAAAACAGTCAATAAACCAAAGAATAAAATAAACTAAATGTGTGAATCTTTCCATTCTGTGTAAACATTAGTTTTCCCTCCACTGCTGATCCAACCAGAGGAAGTGAAATCTGCTTTTTAAATTAAAGGCATGTGAAAACGCTTCCTGGATCCAGATTATTAGTCGGTTTATGAGGTTTGTGTGTTTTTGAGGGAAGTAAAAGGGAATCTGGGACGGAGCGAGCCTCGGGGTGCATCAGCAGCCGTCAGGCCTCAGTGAAGATGAAGTTTAATCCTCTGATAAAAAGCGTGAGAGTGTGTGGAAGCTGGCAGCTCAGAGCCCTGAGGACACACCGCAGGCTCGCTGATCAAACCGCAGGCAAACAGCTTCAGACACACAGCAGAGGGAAACGGCAACAGTCGGGTTCGGTTCAAAGATTCTGTCACTCCGTTTGAGAAATTTGATCAAATGACTGAGAAAAACATGAGAAAAATACACAATATTACAATATTTTCTTCATTTTTTTCTGATTTAAGGTGATAAAATAAACCAACTGTATCTTTTCTTACTGAAATAAGCTCCAAAAATAATTTGAAACATTAATCAACTTGCAGTTGATAAAAATGCAATAGCTTAAGAGAAGAAATTTAGAAGAAAACAAAGTTATAATTGAAGGCAATTATCAGGTAATTACAGTAAGTGGCCACAGAGGGCGCTGTTCAGCAGAATGTAGAGTTTCAATCAGTTAAAACCCATTTGAAATAAAAATCACTGAAGCTTCTACTCAACTTTATTGAATTAATCAGTTAATTATGGACCTTTTAATTACAAATAAATTAGCATTTTAGTTATTTAACTCATCATAAGAGAAAAGAAATGGGAGTTCATATTTTCACCATGTTATTCATTAATTTACAAAAGTCACAGTTTCGGGGTAAATATTTAGTTTGAAGCTAAATAATTAGCTTCAGACTAAAAACTTAGAAGCAAAACATTTATTTAGCTAAGCTTTTTTTAAGCATCACTAATATTTAGCCAGCAAGTTAAATATTTAATTAGAAGATAAATATTGATCTAACATAGAACTACATTTAGTAAACATTAAGTTAATATTAAGCTTAAGAAGCTATATATTTAGTTTGAAGCTAAATAATCATTAGTTTTAAAATATATGGCTGTCTAGCCAAATATTTCGCTAAATGTTTAGCTTAAATCTAAATATTTAACTCAGAGCTTTGAATATTTAGCTACATGTTTTAATCTGTTAGCTTAAAGCTAGATATTTAGTTTGGAGCTAAATAGTTAGCTTGCACACAAAATACTTAGGTTGGAGTTAAATATTTACTTTATAAACTAAATATTTATAAATATTTGCTAACAAAATATAGCTTCAGACTAAATATTTAGCTTGCTAATTAAATATTATAATTAGTCGCGTGACGTGTAAATTAATGGATAGCATGGTGAAAATATTACTTTGAAAAATGAATCCCCATTTTATTCTCAGTTAAATAATCCAAATTATTACTGTTAATTTTGACAGTGTTACAAACGGTACTCCATAGGAGTGTTAATTAGTGTAATTGAACCAGTTTTTTTTCTTAAAAAGCTTATTGTTTACTTGTTATATATAATTATGTAAAAAGTGTGGTTCTTTTTAATGTTCTGTTTGACATTAAAAAGTCAGATTTCCTAAATTGGATCAAGCTGGTTGTGATTTCTGCGGTATTAATTAATTAATTAATTTGTTCGGGTAGTGAAGGGTTAACAATCTGCAGCAGACGCACTGAAGGAGGAGAACCCCCTCCACGGCTCTGTGCAGCCCTGATAACCACCCGGTACCGGTCCGGTACCGCTAACCGCTTAAAAAAATGGATTTTAAACGGACTGGGCGGAACTGGAATCATCCCGGAACGCTATAAAAGGGCGCGTGGGCTCTACGGTTGTTGTGTTTTTCTCCATTCGTCTTCTCCCGGTGCGCACGCAGTCCTCCTCAGCCGCGCGTGCCACCTCCGGACTATAAAAGCTGCCCGCTCCGCTCCACAGCACCTGCTTGTGCTCGCGCCTGTTTTGGATGTGTGTTTTCAGCCAGCGCGTGGACCGACCGGCAGAACCATAAGGAAAAGCAGGAGCAGGCCAGCGCGAGCCAGGAGAAGGCAGGCAGCTCGCGGGCGCCCAGCTCAGCTAGCAGCAGCGACCGAACGGTGACTCCTCCGAACCAGAGATGGTCACGTCCGCACCACGGATCCCCCTCCTGCTGCTGCTGCTAATGTGGCTCCAGCACTGCGGTACCGTCCACGGTAAGAGCCCGCTGCGGTTCCCCGGTTTGTCCGGTTAAACGCTCCGGTGTTCGGGGCGGTTAAGCTAACATTAACCGAGCTGTACACCTGCCTCAGGGCTGCACCTTCATTCACTTGTTAGCCGTCTAATTAGCAAACAAACCACATTCTTCGACCTTAGTCGGTCAGCATTTGTAAGTTTATTTCATTTCTAATGAATTCTCACTCTGGTTTAAAGAGAATAATCGCCAAAAACAAAGATTTAAACCCTTAATTTGGTTGCTCCGCACCTAAACCTCTTTGCGTCAGTGTCTTGTGATTTCTCCTCGGCCATCATCACCAACCCCCTCAGCTCTGTGACGTTCCTTATTTATTCTTTAAGTGAAAGCCGACATGGGGGCCGAGAAAGGAGCGAAATGCGGATTAACATCTTGGATTAAAACTGGGAATAGTTTGGAGCTCCGGAGGGGAGGGGGGTGATTTAGGCCAATCACCGGCCGCAGGGGATCCCAATGACGGCTAATTACCTGCTGAGTGGCCAGGTGCAGGTTGGACATAAACGAGCAAAACTTCTCATTTAAGCCAGAAAATCGGGTAAAACATTTAATATAGACTCGAACCAATATAGTGTTAATATAGCTATTAAATTATGATTTTATATGAATAATCTCCCACAGTTGTCAGGAAACTGGAGATGTAATGGATGTTTTTAATTAAAATGTTTGAATTTTGCCTCCAAATGGGGAGTTGGTTTCATTTTTATTGTTGCTGTAAAGATTTTTTCATATAAATATTTCTGTAGTTTTATATTCAAATAGTTTTATTTGGCAGACTTTCTGTTAAGACATTAAGATTTGTACTTGGATTTTGACTAGTATTCTGTTAGGTTTTGTATATTGTCAAGTTTTCTTTAAAATAACTTATTAGGCAGGTTATATAGAGTAGATTTTTGTCTCCCCTGAGATTTTCTTTCTGTAAATTTTATTTATTATGCTGGCTTTATACATTTATCTCAAGCTTTTCTTTTTCTTGGTGTATTTTTAGAATTTTTTTTTCATATTTTCTAAAATGTTAGGAATGGTTTCCTTCAATTACATGGTGCATTAAAGCCTGGGTTTACAAAGCTGATTGTTAGCTGGTATAATTTGAATCAGGTTTTTGTCATGGAGTCTTTAAAATCTTGTGTTTGACATATGAGGAAATGCATTTTTCCTCCTGATCTGCTCCGATCCCCACCTCCAGCCTCGGTCGGCTCCACGGGGCCTGATAAGAGCCTCGTTCCCCAAAACGAGCTGCCATCACACCGAGATTCAGACCGTTTGACCAAAATGCCATGCAGATTAGTGAGACGAGAGCAGAAGCAGGCTGGCCTGATTAAATTGATTTATGTTTTTCTTCTCTCCCTCCATGGTTACTGTGATGCTGAGTGAGACCCAGATCCTGGGCTGTGGGGCGTCAGAGTGTGGGGGTTCTTAGTGGGCGGAGTGGTGGAGCGCAGCATGCTGCAGCCGTTTGTTACTGGGGAGAACTGCATTACCATGACCTCCAGTGTGACAGCATTTATATGGAGCACAATAATGTTCTATTTTTAATGGAGATTTGAAGCAGCTCAACGCCTGTCGGCTTCAAATGGTACATGAAGACTGGGTGTCATTTTAGAGCTCAGATTTACTATCAGTGTCTCTAATGATCCATTTCTTTTTAGGGAAGGTTGAATTAAGAGTCAAAATGCTTTAAAAATAAAGTGCAAATACTTGTTAAAGTGTCTAATTTGTTGCTGAAATGAACCTTAGAGGTGTTGGCTGGTCACATTCCTCAGTCTCTTGTTTTTGCCTTTAGGTGTCGGTTCTTTAAAATCAGGAGTGACTGCAGAGAAGGAAGCGCTGCTTCATGCAGGTGCGTCTAACTGCTGAGGCGTTGATCAGAGGGTGATGTGAACAGTTTTCCTGGCAGCTAGTCGATGGGCTGGTGCAGCAGCTCCATGGGGAGAAAACCTGAAGGAACAAAAGCTGCAGAATCCACAGTCTGACTCTGCTTTTGTTTACTGCTGTACCTCTGACATGGACTTCATTAAATATATTAACAGTTTCAAGTCTGTTTGCAGGCTTGTGAATAAAACATGCAAATTTAAAGCTCTTGTGACCTGATTTTGATATTTCAGGTCTAAACATGTGGTGGTTAAAGAGGGAAGGATTTTAAGGAGTTTATGTTGAATATTTGTCAAAGTAGGAAACTTGTGATTGGTTTGGTTTTATTAATGAAATAAGATCTCATTACAGGAAAGTGTCAACATTTCTTGGTAATTTCTGCTGAAGGTCACAAATTTGAGTCTGGAAAAGTGGAAGCTTGAAATGAGTGTTTTGAGGTTTGCCTTGCAGGATCTCAATTTGCTTAGTCAGCATTTAATGTACGTCAGCATTTAGACTCTGTGGTGAGTCACAACTTTTCCTTCAGGCAGTTGTTTGGCCAGCCTGGCTGGGCTGTAACTTTAAATAAGTTTAGAACCAAAGGCGTCGGCTGGGCGGGTTCATGACTGTAGATGTTAAAGCTACAGGAACATCAGCAGGAGGAGTTTTGATACTTTGAAGGGAAATTTTGTTTTGGTTGAGTTTCTGTTTTTGGATTCCAGTTTTCATACTTTTTATGAATTTGGAGTTGGTCACATTTGTTAAATATGGTGATAAAACCTTTACCAATTTATTAACCTTTTCCTGTTCTATTAATAATCAGGTTATCTAAAAAATAAGTGACAATTTTGAAAGTCCAACTTGCCTACACATGGTGTCCAGACTATTCAACTGCTGGGGGAAAAATAAACTAAATTTAATTTTCTAAATAAGTTTACTTCCGTTATGTTTCTTTGCCTTGTTTCCTTTTTCTGCTGCTTAAATACCAAATATATCAAATATGAACCTGAGTCCATGTTAAATGACCAGCCTGGCATTCATAATAGATCTTAAAGTTTTTATTTTTTAAGCCATGTTGTATCTTAACAGCTAAATGTTTTTCTATCTGGGTCGTGGTCCGCTCCACGCTGAGACCCAAAGCTGTTCCGGTTCCGAGCCGATCCGGGTTCCTGACCCACTTTCAGTTTTCCATCATGGCTGCGTTTCTCGTCTGCTCCTTCTGGGGTGAATGTTTGATTTAAACAGGCAGGAGCGCTCCATTTCCCCACCTGGACGGCTGCAGCGTGGCGCCAGCCTCAAGGTCGGGGTTATTTTAGGAACATGTTCCGATGTCAGCTGCAGCAAACGGGCCGCAGCGCCGACCTTCAGGCTGGAAACGCTGGTTCCATTCCTGTTGGAACAGGAAGTGACATAAAGTGCTTCTGTTTAAATTATTGAAGCTGGAGCAAACGACAGAAACGCTTTACCTCAGGATTAACCGTTCCTTCAGGACGACTCAAGTTGGATCTGATTTCAAAATAAAATGCACTAAACCATAAAAGTTAAATGTTTGGTCAATAAATGAATATTTTTCATGAGGTTTGATAATACGATTAGAACCTACTAAAGTGAATTATGTTAAAACTCCTTCTGCAGTTATGAAGTTGGGATAAATGGAGCAAAATAACTGAGACCCGTTAAGTTTCAGGAAGTTCTAACTTTCACCTCGTTTGTCTCTTCAGGTACGAAGACGGAATGTGAAGCCAACCAGTTCCAGTGTGGAAACGGCCGCTGCATCCCGTCTGTTTGGCAATGTGACAGCGATGAGGATTGCACCGACGGCAGCGACGAGAGATCCTGTGGTGAGAACGACCCGCTTTACAGAACATGAAACTGATCAGATGTCTGGATCAGTGGAGTTCATTAGTTTAGCACATTTCAGCAACAAGGCAGTTCAACGTAAAAACAGTCAACACACAGAATGGGCTTTACTTCACAAGACTTTTTCCTTCCACTCAACTTTCCACTTGAATTCAGCACTGATCAGCCCATTTCTCCTTTTTTGACTTGTTTAACATAGAAGTTTATTCACATTTAGATAAATATCAAACACGTTTATCTTGTGTGCATAAATTTGCTTTGACTAGGCCTGTAGTTCTCTCAACTGCTCTGGTTTTTCTGCAACGTTTCTGTGCGGATCAGTTTGAAGCAAATCAGAAAGATGCATGAAGTTGTGAAAGCTGCTGCATATTGATGTCAAACCGCTTCAATAAATCAGAGCTAATCTGATTCTGAACCAGGAAGGTTTGAGAACCTGAAGGAAGGAAAAGCACAGCGGAGCTAAATCTGGATCCAATGTGTTCAACTATCTGGGTCATTCAATAAAACACAGCAAGGAAAGAATAAGAGGAGGGGGATGGGAAGATTTAATCCTTTATGAGCAGGAAATGATGACATCATGTGATTTGAACTTTTAAATGTTTTTCAACAAAAATCAAACAAGTTTTCACAAAAGCATTAAATGTGCAGGGAAACGGGATGAGAGGGAAACGTGCTGGTTGCACATGGCAACATTGAGCCGGGAACATCTTAGACTTTAATGATAAAACATCTGGAGATTTTAAACTTTCTACTCCACATCCTGCAGGAAGTGGGATACAAATCAACCAGAATCAGATTTAATGTTTAATCTTGACTCCTTTCTTTTCTCAGCCTCAGTTAAACACCAGATGATCCAAACTAACGATGCAGGACTAGTTTCTGATTTAATAAAACCCAAACTAAACCAGATTCCACTGCAGCATCTTAATTTAAATCCTTCTGATTCTGTGTAGTTCAGAAGACGTGTGCCGATGCAGACTTCGTGTGCCGCAGCGGTCAGTGCATCCCGAAGCGCTGGCACTGCGACGGAGAGCCGGACTGCGAGGACGGATCCGATGAGAGCGTAGAAATCTGCCGTAAGTTTTCCCACAATGCAACTTGTTCAGAAGTTTGATGGTTTCAGTCGGCAGAGAAGTTTATTAAACTCTGAAGCTGTGGGGAAAGTTGATCCTGCCAGTGAAACGTATGAATTTTTTTTTTTTTTTTTAATCAGAAATAAAGGATAAGTTCTTGGTCTGTTTGGATCAGTTTCCTGCTGATCCAGTTCTGCTCTGTCATGTTTGGTGCTGCAGCTGTTTGTCCCTGTTGGCTCTGAAGGTCATGACCGGGTCATGTTCAGCCATCAGAGCTGCTGCTGCGTCCTGCTGATGTCTGACCAGCTGTCGGCTTCAGATCAGCAGCTGAAAGTGTCTGGTTTTAATTTTAACCTGCTGACTCCACATTCCTGATTCCTCTTCCTGCAACAGTTAAACGTTGCTTTATGCTCATTTCAATGAAGTTGCTTTTTTCTTGTTTTGCCCTCCAACGTTAAAAGTTTAACTTGTGCATCAAATTTAAAGCTGAACTTTCTCAGAAATGATTCTTACAAGAATGTGATGCGTTTACTGACATTTTATAATTTCCCCAGTTTATGTTCAGATCTCCTGCCTCTGGCTTCTTCTGCTGCAGATTGACTGTCGCATAAACAACGTAAAAGTTTAATAAAATGCAACATTAAGCTTTGAAAACTATTGGATAGGGTTAAATGGGACAATCTCCTTTAACTCCATAGATGCCTGATTTTAATTACTTCATGTAAAGAAGTATTAAAACTTTGTTTTGACCTGACTTGGTTCTGTTTCCTTATCTAGTTACTGTAACGATGCTTTTCTGAACCTGCACAGAAAAAGAACCAGAGTTTTTAGCAGCTTTCATGAAAGGAGACGAAGCGGGCCGCTCCACTGCAGGTTCTGATAACTTCCAGTTGGAGCTCGTCTTATCTATAGTTATTCCCCAAAACATTTTCATTCTTGATGCTGCATATTATCAGGAAAGTAGATGAATGGCTGATTAAAGCTGCAGTACTTTTAGCATTTCCGTAGTTCTGTGATGCTTCACATCGTATCAGACCAAATATTCTTAGTTTGTCATGTTCCTATAACGTTGTCTTGCCTTGGCGCTGTGTTTTTGTGGTCTGGTTCTGGTCACTGACCTCAGCGTGTCGTTTCTGTCTGCAGACATGAGGACGTGTCGCGTTAACGAGTTCAGCTGCGGCCCAGGAACCACGCTTTGCATCCCCATCTTCTGGAAATGTGACGGAGAGAAGGACTGCGACAAAGGAGAGGATGAAGTCAGCTGTGGTGGGTGGAAGCTGCTTTCCTCAACGCCTCAGTAATTATTTGACCTTTGAATCAGTCGTTTCCCTTTAAGCTGAACGTCTGGCAGCTGCAATCAGCAGCAACGTGTCGACTTTTAGGTGATTTATGATCCAGACGCTGCAGGAAAACCTGAAGATGAGGCATTCAGAGCAGTTCAGTGTTTTCTCCTGGGATTGAACAAAATGTCTGAAGTGCTTTAGATTCACATTCAATCAATACTTCATATTGATTGAGACACTTGTTCCTTGTAACTTCAGCTGTATTTATTTTTTAATGTTGGCTCCAGTGGCCTTTAGCAGGTGTAAGACGGAGAATCAGGCTGTGAGCGAAGGGAAGACATGAGGCATTGATTGGGACGGCATGACGCTTCACATGTCGCCAAGTCTTTAGGAGGAAATACTTCGCTAGATTGTTTTTAGTCATTAGAGCAGGGGGTGTCGAATGTCTTTGGTTTGGGACAAATCAAGGTCCTAAATGCTTTAAAGGGCTGGTTGTGCCAGAATGTGTTAAAACCTGTTAAAATACCAATAGATTCTTAAAATTAAATATTACTGAACATCTTTTCAGTCCCTCCTGGATTTTGATGCTTTTTCCCCTCCAAGTAAGGCCAAGGCAGCTACTTGGTACAAGTAGACAATTTTTTAGAAATCTACAATAAACTTTACTGGCTCAAAATTTTGAGGATTTGATTTTGTTTTCACAATAATTCTCAGTGGAGGGACTGGTTGGCAGTGAACGGATAAAAACTGCATTGACTTGATGACATAATATTTAAGCAAACTTGGTGTAAAGTCTAGATTCTAGAGGCTTTTCTTTCCATAAGCAAACAGCAGTTTTAATTTGTTCAGAGTGCATTTCCACGTCGTATAACTGACACAAACGGCGGCCATTTTGAAATGCAAAGTTTGGTCTCTTAAGCTTTGTGGGGTTGGTGTCGTTCCAGTTTCTGACTTCAGAGGTCATTCCAGTTGACCTTTGACTAGGAAGTCAGAATTTCAGTTTGGCAGACCTGTTTCTGTCTCGATGAAGGCAGATGCTTTTTCCCTGTGCTCCATGCCTGTCCTGCTTGCTCTGTTTTTGTCTTTCTATATTTTTGGAGCCTTTTTACATCATCCAAATCTACAAATTATGGATCTGGTCAACTGATCTTTCAGTGCAACTGATCAAATTTTCAAGAAGTTTGGGCCTCTTGTCCTGTGGGGACACACCTGGTGGGATTCATCCTGGATTTATTCATAACAGGATTTCTGCTGTTTGGAGCTTGCGGATTCCTGGATTATCGACCAACTTGGCCGAACTAGCGAACACTCAGACTGTTGGTGTGGACAGAGGCGAGGACTCAAACTCACTAACAGGATGGAATCGATCTTGGAGAAATTGCTAGTTTCGGCTCAGTAGAAAAACCAAACTAATTTGGATGATTGAGAACTGAAATGTATCGGAGAGACTTGAGGGAAGATTGAAATGTATAATCTTCCCAACCTAAGACACTCTATATGTGAATTGGCTTTCCCTGTGTGGCCTTGGCAGGCCACACGGGCCTCATCTCTGTGAAGATATGTAAACATCACACTCCTCCCTCCTGTTTCTGTGGAGCTGAACGCTCCTACAGACATCATTCCTCTGACACCTATCGGACTATGCCAAGGGCCACAGCCACTTTGCTCCATGGCCCTTTGACATCACCACCTTCACTCATGTCTTTGTCTGAATGTTGCCATTTGCCCTAATGTGTCCTTTCCTCTTTGTTTTAGGTGGAGTACTCCCTAT